TGGGGGGTGGGCACAAGGGGTGAAGGGAGACATGTATATGGTGATGGACAAACAAAAATGTACAACCCAAAATTTCACAATGTTAAAAACTATTACAACATCAATAAATTAATAAATAATAAAAATCTTCCCACTTGAAAGAAAAAAAAAACACTAAAGTACAGAGATGAATATGCAAAGGAATTTGAGCACATTAATTATTAAAGATCTTTCAGCAAAACAAAGACATTTCAATATAAACAAGGGCAAATGTGATACAAGGAGGAGGAACTACATAAGCTTTAAAGCAGCAGGGCCCTAAATCTGTACATATTGAAGAGGGTCCCACAACTAGAAGTCTTAGTGAGAGATTAGCTGGAACTTGGTTTTTCAGAGCTGTAGATCTAGGAGCTCTCATAGTTCAAATCCTGCATCTTACAGATAAAGAAGCTGAGGTCCAGAGAAAAGTAATTTGCCTCAAGTCACAGTGCAAGTTAATATCAAAAGTGGGATTCAAACTCAGGTGTCCAAACCACCAGTGCCTTTGCTGTTACTTCACATTTCCTCCTTCTTTTACTTCTCTTGGCAATCATCGTCTAAGCACTAGACTTGGGAATACTGTGTCCAGTGAATGAGGACAGAGGACAAAACTTAGAGTCTTTGCCCTTCTAGAAGATGTTAAATTCTACACTCTTGGGTCACAGGTAAAGATCTTACGGGAAGCAGTTTAAAGTAAGTGGACTATGCATCCTTGTAGAATCTGCATTTGTGATCTTGAAATTTCCCCGGAAACTTCTCTTTACGTGTCGAAGGGGAAGAATAACTATCCTGCCACCTCACAGGGCTGTCCTAAGGCCCAAATGCAATAATGAATATTGAAAGTGCCGTGCAAACCTTCCCACGAAGGGAGATAATGGCAGCACTCAAGTAGCAGCTGAAGGAGCCTTTGGTCTCCGAAGATCAGAGTTCGGGCCAGGCCACCCACTCGCCGTGACAGTTTCCCCGTGTGTAAACGGAGACCAGAACACAGGCTCCCCCACACTAGGTGGCTGCGAGGACCGAGCCGTAAGACGCAGGGCCAAACATGAACGAAGATGGGCATTTACTTCGCCAGCCGCGCCTCCTCACCTTCTGCACCTGCTCTGCGAGCGCCACGAGGTCTAGGGGGTCGCCGGCCCGGCGGGTGTGGTAGGGGCTCACGAGGGCCAGGCCGCCGGGGGTCGCGGTGAGCTCCACCAGGCGTCCTGCGACACACACCCGGGAACACAGGCCGTGAGCGCCCGCCCTCTGCCTCCCGCGGAGCCCGGGAGCCCAGCGGCCCCTTCCGACTCCCGCCCCGCGTACCTCCCCGACCTGCCGCCGACTGAACTCCTCGGTTTTCTGGGACGCCCTCCGCCCGCCCCGCCGCTGCAGCGCCGTCCATGACTGGGCTCTACCCTCCCAACCCCGGGCAGGGCGGAGCGGGCCGGGAGAGCAAGCGCATAAAGGCCCGTGGGCGGAGCTTCCGTGCCCCTGGCCAGTGGACGTCGGAGCTGCGGAGCACGGCCCGCGCTCGGAGGCGGGGCTCCGGCGGACGCACAGGTCCGCTGAGGGACGGGGCCCAGGAGAGCGCCAGAGGCGGTGAAAGCCTCCTGGGCATGCGCCGCCGGGCCTGGGAGGCGGAGCTTCGCTCGGGGGCGGGGCTGCCGGGGGTGGTACTTCGGCCTCCGTGGCGGGCGGCGCACGGTCCCGTTAGGTCAGAGGAGGCAATGGCGGCGCGCGCGTTGAGGTTGCTGACCGCGCTGCTGGCCGTCGCCGCCGCCGCCTCCCGGGCGGAGGTGGAGTCCGAGGCGGGATGGGACGTGGCGGCGCCTGATCTGCTCTTCGCCGACGGGACCGCGGCCTACGCGCGCGGGGACTGGGCCGGGGTGGTTCTGAGCATGGAGCGGGCGCTGCGCTCGCGGGCCGCCCTGCGCGCCCTCCGCCTGCGCTGCCGCACCCGCTGTGCCGCCGACCTGCCGTGGGAGCTG